AAGTCTGCTTCTTCTTTTCTTTTTTTCAGTTTTTGTGTTTTTCCCCCAAATCACTTTTTCTTTTTTGCCTATAGTGGAGAATCCAATTAACCACTGTGCTTCATTTGTTTATCCAAAAAAAACAAAAACAGAGACAAAATAAATAAATAAATAAATAAACAAAATAATGGAGATACTCTAAAATTTAAATATATTATGTAGAAGAGATTAATGTTGTACTTGAATTTTAAATTTGCATAGCAATTTGTGAAAGTAATAGAAAAGTGGAAAAGAAATTAAAGAAAAAAAAGCTTATAATTCCTATTCACTTTTTTCTTTCTTTTTCTTTTTCCCTCCATAGTTTCTTATAAAATCCAAAATTAAAACACAACAAAGATTCCACGTTTCTCATTTATATGCCACAATTTCTATGCAGAGGGCCAAAAAACAAAATAAAATTTAAAAAGAATAATTACACTAACCTCCCTGCATATTTGGAGGAAAAAATAATATACCGAATTACATAAGTTTGACGAAACTACATCGTGCTCCATTAAAACTTTTCTTTATACAATACTCTATCCATTTTCATCATCTTCTACACTAAAATATATATACCCTTGATTATTCATCTATTTACAAACCATTTATAGGTCAATATAATTATATCAAATTTATGAAACTCAGTTATATTCTTTCCAAATTTGAGAGTGTTCAATAAATTAAAACTAAACAAAACAAAAAAAATAAAAATAAAAACTAGTTAGAAGCAGTTGATGGCATGTATGGTCCTAAACTTGCAGGAGTCCACAACTGCAGTCTTATACAATACTCTATCCATTTTCATCATCTTCTACACTAAAATATATATACCCTTGATTATTCATCTATTTACAAACCATTTATAGGTCAATATAATTATATCAAATTTGTGAAACTCAGTTATATTCTTTCCAAATTTGAGAGTGTTCAATAAATTAAAACTAAACAAAACAAAAAAAAAAATAAAAATAAAAACTAGTTAGAAGCAGTTGATGGCATGTATGGTCCTAAACTTGCAGCAGTCCACAACTGCAGTCATATTCCACATAGACACAATGTAAAGGTCTTCTATTATACTCATAATTCATAATTAAATAAATCTGTGAGACTTATCTTTTTTTGCTTTAAAGAGTCTAATTGATCATAGAATCAGATAAAGAATATATATAAATAGATAAATATTTAAAAGTAAATCCTACTAACAAAACCTTGTAAAAATTATCTATAGAAATGTATTCAATTTGTAATTAATTTTTATATTGGTAGGAAAATTGTTTAAAATCTCAATGATTCATTATGAAATACAAGTTTTAGAATGCAAATGAATAAGTAAACCCCAGTCTAACCAAATAAGGGGTCATTGTGACAAAGGGTTGACTTTCTAACAGGTACAGAAAGTAGTTCGCAATACATTTTTGCCAACTTTTCTGTATATGCTTAGTGGTGTCCTTATACTGCAACCACATTGGCTGTAGACCCAACAACTGGCTTTAAAATGGACTGGGCTTTTGGACCACCAATTTCTCTCATATTAATTCTGGACAAAAAAAACTAAACATACTATGGGTTGGTTTGGGAAGTGGGTTGGTTTTTTAACTTTTTGGATTTTTTAACTATTTTAGCCTGGGCTAAAAAGCTTGGTTTGGAAAGGGCTTTTTGACTTTTTGGCTTTTTTGACTTTTTTTGTGAGAGAAGAGTGTAATGATTATGAGTTAGATGTGATGTTTTGTTTTTTGTGACTAAAATAGCCTATTTTATTTTTTGTGGCTAAAATAACCAAAAAAGCCTCAACCAAGGCTTCCCAAACGAAGCCTATAAATTAAGAGCTCTGTTACAGAGCCCGAAAGGATTTCGAGCCAAATTTGGCTCGAATTTGAGAAGAAGGAGGAAGAAGAAGAAGAAGAAGAAGAAGAAGACAAGGAGGAAAAAGAGAAGGAGAAGCAGAACTGGAGGGGGCCCTAAAAATAGGGCTGGAGGCGGAGGCGGAGGGAGGCAGAGGTGGAGGCGGGCGGAAGCAGAGGCAGAGGCGGAGGCGGGCGGAGGCAGAGGCGACGATCGGCAGACGACCGACGATCGGCAGACGACCGACGACCGACGAGCTGTGACGATCGGCCGACGAGCGACGACGAGCTCCCGCCTCTCCCCTCTATTTCTCTCTCTCGCCTCTGCTTCTCAGGTTCAAAACGAAGAAGAAGAAGAAGAAGAAAAGAAAAAAGAGGAAGAAAAAGAAGAAGAAAAAAATTTTGAACCTTAAAATGACGTCGTTTTAAGGTTCGAGCCTCACATTTCGGGCCCTCAAACATTTTTCATAAATTAATACAATGATGATAAAATAGAGAATAAGTGCACTCCCACCATGAGATGCTTTTTCCATATATATATAAATATATATATACTAGTTGTGTATGTATATTGATAGATATGTTGTTAAAATTCATGAAGTTATTACAAAATTTAATGTGAGATTGATCTCATAATTATACAAGTAAAAAGTTACAAAACTTGATGTATAACACCTACTAGGGGAAAAATTGAAAAACATTTATCAGGTGTAAATTTTATTTAATAGTGGTAGATACAAACATAATATGTTTGCATCTAAAAGTAGTTTAACAAATAAGGATTGAATTATAAAACTATTTAGTAGAGTCATTGAATGTAAAGTTTTGGCAGTTACCTATCTTAGGGGGGGTTTTGAAGAAAAAATAAAATTTACTAGACTTCCGAGTTGTTTATTTTATATAATAAAAGAGATATTAGTGGTAGGTACAAACATAATAACAAAATCAAATCAAATTAAATCTTAAGTCTCATCAAATCAAATGGAGTTAGTCATATGAATCTTTTTTCTCTATCTGATTCTATCAAAAGCTATTTGATTAGTCAAAATAAATTTAGGTTAAAATGTTGTGAATACCTAGGGCAAATAACAATGTTAGTATTTTTTTTTTTCAATGTGATAATGCTTCAAAATTATTTTGAATTGTATATTTTATATAATAGAATAGATATATTTTTATAAATATATTATTTTTCTTTTTTCTTTTTATTTTGTTTCTTGGTTTACTGGGTTCCAAATGAGGCATGAAGTTCCCAAAACAACTATATCTTCTTCCTCCAGTTGCAAATAGCACTCTCTATCCCACTATTCCTTTCCCCTCCAATCCACTCTTTTTTTTTTTTTTCCTCTCTCTCAGTCAATCTCGCTCTCTCTCTCTCTCTCTATATACTTTTGACCAACAAAAAAGAAGCACAAGAAAAAAGTTGATAAAAAATTAATTTTTTGACTTTTTTAATTTATTTTGTCTTTTTGTAGATAAGTTATGTGAGTGGTGACATGACTTAAAATGAGTAAAAAATTGAAAGTTAACTTTTTATCAACTTTTTAAAAAAACTCTATAACAAAGAGATAAAAATGTATAACAAATGACCTAGGATCCTCTCTCTCTCTCCTAGTAACCTTTACCTTTTTTTCCATTCACTTGCTTCATTCACTTGCTTCACAAAAAGAATAATGTTATAGACGTTAAAAGTTCTATTAAAAATTTTATCAAATGTCTTGTATGGGTATAGAATCTATATTATGTGGATCTCATGAGAGTCTTACACTTTTGTGAAACATAATTTTTAATAGAATTTTTAAAATTTCTAATATTTTTATCACGAATAGAGAAAGAGAAATTGATGAGTTGTGTTTTGAATTTAAGACTTTTGCTTCACTAAAATGTGAGAGAGAGATTAATAAGCTGTTGGTAAAAAATTTTGCTTCACTTAAATGAGAGAAATTAATAAGCTGTTGTGTTTTGAATTTTAGACTTTTTTTACTTTATTTCACATTTAAGACTGGTACCCTCCCTTTACCCTAAAGTAAAAGCTAAATTCAGCTCTATAATGTTGTTTGCTGTTGGGTTATTTATATGAAATATGTTTGGCATGAACAGTATCATAAAAACAAACATAACCACACAATAACACTTTATTTAGTGAGCCCCATCAACACTTTAAACTACTGCTATAAGCTAAATAAATCATATATTAATAAGTCTTATTTTTAGGATTTACGATTTAAAATGTCTAAATAAGTACCTTCTTTAATTTTTTATGAAAAATTATGCAATATAATAGAAAGGTGATATAACTCAAATTATAAATGATATAATCCAAATAAGATAAAAAAAAATATAAAGATGATCAAAAATAAATCACCCCCAAACAAGGCCTTATTACCGATTAGGTTCTATTAATAAATTCATCCGTCAAAATTTATAAATAAATAAGTACATATAATAAACCTAATTGATAAATGTCTCATTTATCATTTATTTATGGATTTATAAAACTGATCAACAAAGGACTCCAAGGTGATAGTAAAGCCCATCAAAACTTTCAAACGGTGCATTCATTAATTTTGAAAAGCAAAAAAATAAAATAAAATATAATATAATTATATTTTATTTATATATATATATATATTTTTAAAAATAAACAAAAAATAAACAAAAACCAATTTATAAATTTTTTGTAAATATAAACTGAAAACGTAAACGTTACCAAACACACCCTAATAAACCTTATAATTTTAACATAATTTCATTAAATTTTAATATTTTAATTTGTATAATACCCTACTTACTTTTTATAGATAATTTATTAGCTACATGATACAAAAATATTTACATTATTTATTTCTATATTTTGATATCATATACATTAATTTCAATTTATTTAACTTTAGAAGATAATATAATTATATTAAAATTGTAAAATTTACTTATATTTTTTTTTTGGGGTAAAAGTATATTGTTCTAATCATTGTTGCATTCATAACAATCCTTAAACTAATTTTGTTATTTTCTATGATCATCAATAAATCTACCATCAAAAACATCAAGAAAGATATTACCACCATGCAAGTTCATCAAGAAAATTCATCAATAGAAAAGAGAGAGAGAAATAGAGGACTGAAATGAAATAAAATATTTTGATTTTAATCCCTTTTTTTTTTTTTAGAAAATTAATCCTTTTAAATTACGGAAATTTAAGGAAGCTATGTCCTAAAATGCTCTATCGTACAAAAAAGACCCTCGTAGAACCTCCTAATTACCTTCTCTGTACAGACAGACAACCAACCACATTTTTTCTTTCCAAAAAAAAAAAAAAACGTTGAATTAAATTTTCCACCAAAAATGGCCGAAAATTTCCCCTCTCATCATTTTCAAAGACTCAAGTGCCGTTACCGTCACGTTCACAGTCCCCGTCATCCCTCACCGTTAAATTAACTCTCCACCAACATTGCTTCACCATCCCCGTTAACATTACCGTTTCCGTCACCGTCTCCGTCATGATCTCCGTCATCTTCCACCCACCTCTCCATGGGTGTGCACTCCGCCTTGTGCCGCATCTTCCAATCCAGCGCCTGACACGCGCGCGAGCAGTAGTTCACCGCGCCGCAAACGGAGCACCGACGGAACTCGTGCCTCCTCGTCTCGGGTCGCCCGCACCCGGTATGGGAGCAAAGCCGGAGCCCCGGACCTGGTACTCCACCCCGAGCCGCAAACCATTCTGTCAAAAACCGGCTCGCAGGATGGGGCTCCGGCGCCGGCACGTTCCAGCCGAAATCACTCAGCAAAGGACACCCAGCCGAGCCGGTGATATGGCGGAGGTGAGGGAGAGGATTCCAAGTCAGCCGCGTGGTTGAAGTCACGGCTGAGGGGGGAACGGCTAAGACGGCGGCGAGCTCGCGAGCGTTGGCTTGGACAAGGAAGCGCCGTCCCTCGGCGATGTTCTGGCGTACGCCGTAGCCGTCTTGGAGGCAGTGGCCGAGCTCGCGGAGAGCGTCGATGTGGCCGAAGAAGCCGGCTCGAGCGCAGAGAGCAACGCCGGCTCGGAGGTCCTTGTCGTTCTTGGAGCCGCCACTGCCGTTGAACTGAATCACCGCCAAAGAGTAAAGCGCCGGCGCGTGAGAGTTAATCGCCGCCTTTGCCATTAACGAAGCTCCACTTCCTCGATTTTGCAAGCAGTAGAAACGAATCTGTATAAACAATAATCATTAATAACAATCCTGAAACAGAATGTTGACCAAAATGTTCGGCAAAGATTGAAATTAAATAATATGAACATAAATTTGTGTACTGACCATGCCGAGTGTGTAGCAAGCTTCGACATTTCCTGACTCGGCACACTGTTTCAAGAATCGGTGAGCGGACTCAGACCAGTTTTTAGCATTAACGGCAAGTATTTTCGTTGAAGCTTTGGATAAAACCATGGAATTGAGGCCTAAACCGTTTAATCTCTTGCATCTGTTTCATACAATTCACAACATCAGATTCAAACACAACACAAATTTCAATCAAAATTCGAAGAATGAAGTCAATATATACCGATTGAAAGACAATGTTAACAGTTAAAATCGGATAAATAGCCCGAGACTTAAATCTTCCGGAGGAAAAAAAAAAAAAAAAAAAAAAACTAGAATCAAGATAAAAAAATAAATTAAAAAAAAAGAGAGCAAATTACGAAGAACAAAGACGTACGTAATCAAAACGTTAAGAAAATCTGCAGGACAACTCGCTGTAGAACTGAGTTTGCAGAGAATAGAAACGACGAGATCATCAGGCAACTCGTCGAACAAATCACAATCTCCGGTGACCTGCGGCCACCTCTTCAAGCGTTTTCCGATACTCCTCAATTCTCCGGCCAAATCTCTCTGTCTCTTCACTGCTCTCTCCAAACACATCTCTACTTTCGGATAACAAACTCCCTGCCTCGTTCTCATCTCTCTCTATATATATACAATTATATATATATATATATATATATATGATTATATGTATATGTGAGTATGGTGTTTTTGATTTGTGTCCAGAGATAACAGAGAAAGCAAAGTGAGATCCTATCTTATATATAAAAGAGGGAGAGGAGGAGAGAGGCCTTATCGAATTGGACCAACAACGACAAAGCCGAACCGAACGAAATTAAAAATAAAAATAAAAATAAAAAGAACTGGGAAGGAGTGGTTAATTACGAGAATAGCCTGGAGTTGTCGTATTAGAGGAGCACTGGGTCAAACGGCGTTGACCAGATCCGTCGGTACGTCGTCGTCCTCGTCGTCGACGGTTACTTGCTATGTACTGCATAAATGCCTCTCCCTTGTCTGTACGCTTTAGAGAGAGAGAGAAGTCTCTTTTTAAACATTTGTTAGGGAGAAGTTGTTTGGTGCAGCTAAGTTAAAAATTAATAATTAAAAAATAAAAATTAAAAATAAATTTTTTTGAGAAAATTAGTTTAGAGTCTCTTTCTCACTTTTCGTAATAGAAAAGATTTACAAAATTATTTTTTGATGTCTAAGGTCCCTAAACATATATTAGAGAAATTTGACTCTTTGTCTCTCTAAATATATATCAGCTCAGCTCAACTCTATTTTCTCCAAATGTCTCAACTCTCTCTGCTCCTATTATGTTTTTTCATTTACATCCAAAATCTCAACTTCACACACTTTCTCTCCTCCGACGGCCTCTCTCTCCTCTTCCTAAAATTCATTGTCAATTGTGGAGGCGTCGGCGCATTCTCCGACTGGAAAGAATGAGCTCGGAACCCTAGTCTATCTCCGGCGACAGAATCGAATTTCTGGTCACCATTGTCGCGGAAGAGATCGTTGGAGATGATCGAAGACGTCGGAGATGGAGTTCCCGAGAAGGCTTTTTGTTCTAGGTCTTTGGTTTGGTTAACTGGTGGTCATCAACTTCAGTTTTATAACTGTGAGAGAACTAAAGAAGCTCAGATCCATGGAATTGTGACTCTGGTTTGTATTCCCACTTCTTGTGGTGTTCTTGAAAGGGTTTGCAGGCAGGCACTGACAATTAGTATCATAGCAAGTCATAGCTCAAAAACAAAGTGGAAGATTTGAAATCACAACTTCAAATTCAAGACTTTAATAATTGTACCAACAGTAAGAAGATAAAGATGGAAATGGCGGACGCCACTGACACTAGGTATATATCTTTGGTTGTTCAGATTTCTCCTATGGACCAAACCAGAGAATTTCTCTAGACCACCCCAGAGAAAATTCGACCATAGTGAATTTTTCTGAATTGAATTTTCTCTGGTTTGGACCAGAGAATTTCTTTGGATTAAATTGAATTTTCTCTAGTTTTGGACTAAAGAATTTCACTGAATTGAATTTTCTCTGGTTTGGACCAGAGAATTTCTCTGGATTAAATTGAATTTTCTCTGGTTTGGACCAGAGAATTTCATTGGATTGAATTTTCTCTAGTTGAATTTTCTTTGGATTGAATTTTCTCTGGATCAAATTTTCTTTAGATTGATGTTGAGGGACCTTAGACATTATAAAAATATTGAGTGTCCTTTATGCCATAAAATCATAATACCAGGGACCTTAAAAAAAATATTTTTTTTCAGTTTTTACATAATTAGTTTTTCTTAATTTATTTAAATTATTTCTACCTGAAAAATTATAAGTAAAAACTGCACTAATCAGTTTGATATAGATTTCTAAATTAAAATAAATTATAATCACTCATAATAATTCACACCTAACACCCCAAAGATGGATTTGTGGACAACTTAAGTATAATTCATCTCTTTATTTATTTTTGATAATCACATGTTTAGACTAATTTATGCGTTTTTTTCGCTAATATCACAATTTTTAGATTAATGATGAGATAAATATCTAAAAACCATAAGATTTGAATTACTTGACATTCATAAGATTCAATCGTACAATCTCTTAAACATTAAGGGGTTGTTTGGAATGTCTTAAATAAGTGCACTTTTTGTCTTTTTAAACTAAAAAGTTAAGGAAAAAATATATGAATGTTTGAGTTAATTTTTTGACTTTTTATGGAAAAATATGTAATAAAAAATTGTAAAAATTGGTTTGTAGAGGAAAATTAGGATTGAGAGTTGTGCAGCGATAATTGTTGACTTTTGATAAATAATATTAACTTTTTAAGTTTTTGAGTAATTTTTTGATTTTTTAACTTTTTTTAAGTATCCCAAACTTGGCCTAAGTTATTTGATGGTCTTCTATTATGCCAAATTCGTTGAGCTTAATTCATATCTTTATTTATGTTGGCTGAGGAGGATGAAGAAGAGTTTTCTCTCTCTAAAATGACTTGGGGTTGTTTTGAAAGCAGTTATTTTTGTTGTTTGTTTTGAAAACCGTTATTTTTGTTGCAAGCAACTAACTTTTTGTTAATTTCAAAACAAATTGAACTTTGATTATAACTTAGGATTTTGATGTCTTTTGTCAAATGGGTTAAAAGTTAAAAAGTGAATTAAAAGTTTAAAAAATTAAATTTTAATTATTTTTTTCAAAACACCGTTTGTTAATGACAAGTGCTAATAAATCCTCTAAATTATTGTTTAATGTTACGAAATGTATAAAAGAAAGTTAAAAAATATATTGATTTTAATAAAAATATATTGAATTTAATAAAAAAGTGTCTTCTATATATATGTATATATATTTGACTTTTATTTGTATTTTAGATCATCTCCAATGATTTAACAAATATTTCATCAAATTTAAATTTAATAAAAAAATTTACTCTTTGCTGCTCCTATGTTTTACCAAACCTTTCATCAAATCTAAGATGAAACTTATCTTTTATTAGATTAAAGATCGATGTATTTTTCATCAAATTACTGTTCATAACCATTAGATTTTCACTACTGAATATCTCCGGATAACTACCTCAAGGCAAAAATTTATGAAAAATTTAGACTGACTGGTCGACCGGCCAAACATCCGCCTGGTCAATCGGTGTTTTGGTGAAGTTTCAAAAGCCTCCGTTGAAACACTTGATGTTAAATGGACCTTATACTCAAATTTGATGAAAATTTTGATACATCGGTGGAGATGCCCTTACAAACACTAGTTAATAGAACCCTTTTTAATTTATGTTTTTAAGTTTCATACTTATATACAAAAATTCTAAATTTTTTTACACGTATTTTTATATAAGACATAAAAAAATATGTACTCTAATTTTCAATAACCACATGGGAGATGGGATCACTCTTATTAAATAGATGGAAAGTGATATTATCAAAATTATTAAAGAACATCATTTCTTTTATTTATTTGTGAACATTTAAATCTATTATAAAAATGCATCACTTTTATCTTTTTAAAAACTAATATTTAGGCTTGGTTTGGGAAGTAGGTTGGCTTTTTGGTTTTTTGGCTTTTTTGGCTATTTTAGCCTGGGTTAAAAAGCTTGGTTTGGGAAGGACTTTTTTGCTTTTTGGCTTTTTTGACTTTTTTTGTGAGAGAAGAATGTAATGATTATAGGTTGGATGTGATGTTTTGTTTGTTATGGCTAAAATAGCCTATTTTATTTTTTGTGGCTAAAATAGCCAAAAAAACCTGAAAACCATCTTGCCAAACAGAGGCTTATATTAATTTTAAAATTAATGACTAACCAAGTCTTTAATGATTCAAACTTTAGTTTAGTTTATTTTACAAAACAAATGTTATTAATGACAGTACTAATAAAAACTTGAAATTGATAAGTATATTATGAATAACAATTTATAAGTAATGAGAGTTAAAGTATGTAAATGAAAAATAAAATAATTAAAAAAAATGAATGTGAAGCCACGTGTAAATTATATATTTAAGTATATTTAGTAAATATAATTGGAATGGGGCAAAGTAAAACAAGGAAAAGAAAGCTCGTCTCATCTCCATTCATTCTCGATTATAGGCAAGAAAAACTTGGGCGAGACGAGGTGAGAGATGCACGAATAGTCTGAGGTGAGAGAAAATTATCATCCCTATTAACAAGTGCTTTAAGAATTATATTTATTTATTTTTGAATTAAAAATATTTTTTTAAGATTAATAAAATTATTTTTTAAGTCAGTAAAAATATTAAAATTAATTTTGTAATTAATAAAAAATTTATTAAGAGTTGTGTGGTACGTGTTAGAAGTGCATGCGTGTGGGAAGATGTTTTATAAGGATAATTATTTAGTAATTTGAGAGTATAGACACGTATAATTTTAAAGTATTTTGATTGGTGGAGAAGGTGGGTAGGTATGGTATTGTGTTAGGTGATTGGGGAACATGAGGTGATATATTGAATGATAATTGATTAGGGAGTGCAAACACATGATACTCCAAGAATATTTAGTAATTTTTCATTATATAAAACAAATTCAGGTAGCGAGTGAGTTCTCGGCAATTGTTGAGGACATCACTCTCTTAATTAGGCATGTGCAAAATATCGTTCAATCTACTAAAACCGCACTGATGCGTATCAATCCGCACCGCTCTATCCCTTTTTTTTTTTTTTTTTTTGATCGGCAAAGAAAAATTTCATTAATCAACATGAAATTAATTGCAGTTTAAACTTTAAAATTTATAATCCGCCTTCAAAGCCGCTTCGCTCTGCTATAGTTAATACATATATATTCTTTAACCTATATTGAAATATCAATATAAAAATGAGTGCAAAAGAGTTTTAATTTGTAAAGTTTATTACAATTAGTAGTTATACATATACAAAATATTATGTAAAATTAATTTGTGTTATATATATAAAAAATATTATACAAATTAAAGTTATATATTATGCAAAGACTTAATGGCCTCGTTTGGGAAGTGACTATTTTAGTAGGCTATTTGGCTTTTTGGCTATTTTAGTGGTTATTTTAGTTTTTGTGTTTGGGAAGATGAGATGATTTTTTAGTTGAGTTATTGTATTGAAAAGTGTGTTGAAATGATGTTTAAATTTAAAATGACAGATTTATCCCTAACTTTTTATTTTTTAAAATTGATATAAAGGGGCAAAATGGTAATTTCGCCCTTGCTGCAACACTGTCCGGCTGTGACAGTGTAGGCTGTGCCTACAC